TTGAAGAAATTCAATTGATTGCACGTCATAATTATTATTTAATATCCAATATTAAATATATTAAATATTCTTTAAAAACTGTATTTAATAATTAAATTAATTTTATTAAATCACGCAATATTAAGTGATGCGTTCTTGACAATTGAAGAAATTTAATTAATTGCACGCAAGACTTAAAGAATATTTAATATATTTAATATTAAATATTGAATAATTAAATTAAAAACTATATTTAATAATTATATTACCTATACTAAGTCACGCAATATTAAATTGGTGCGTGCTACGTTCTTGATAATTGAAGAAATTCAATTGATTGCACGTCATAATTATTATTTAATATCCAATATTAAATATATTAAATATTCTTTAAAAACTGTATTTAATAATTAAATTAATTTTATTAAATCACGCAATATTAAGTGATGCGTTCTTGACAATTGAAGAAATTTAATTAATTGCACGCAAGACTTAAAGAATATTTAATATATTTAATATTAAATATTGACTAATTAAATTTAAAACTATATTTAATAATTATATTAACTATACTAAATCACGCAATATTAAGTTAGCGTGTGATACACGTTCTTGACAATTGGAGAAATTCAATCTTTTAATTCAATTAAAAAATGTAAATTCATGTCAATTTACAATTTTCTTAACGAAATTAATAAATAAATAATAATTCTCGCTGTAATTGATATTTAACAAATTACTTGGGAAAGGTTCGAGAATAGTTGAACAAATTGAACGTGTTCATCTCGAACGTTATAATGCGAATAATAGGATGCTAAACTAAATCGAGTGACAAGTGAAAATAGATTCTTCTGCCATTCACTTGTTTGCCTGTCACGGGTGCATTGCTCTCACGAAGGAAACAGGATGCAAATTATTCGGGGTAATATAATCCCGCGTGTTATTATTACAACAATGGATATCCGTCTGTAATATCGTACGAGTAATATCCAATAATTAGTGCAATATTTCAGTATCTGTTTGCCTGACCCAATCATGATCGTGTTACTTACGTTCACCCCTCGTGCTTCGATTTCCCTATGAAAGTTGCGTATCGATGGGGAGTGTAGTTTTAATTTTAACTCACCACATGGAAAATTCTACCTTTCATTATCTGATTAGCATACTTTGGGAATTAAAAGTGTATTATTCATTTAAATAAAATAATAATTAATACATCGTGTTTATAGCATATATAAATTACGTTTCTAAATTCTTGTAAGAATTTTGCATTTGATTAAACGCTATGTACAGAGTGTCTTTTCATATAATTCTCGATCAATGAATAAAAATAAAAAATATTCTATTATATTTTATTAATATTTTTATGTTAAAAGAAAACAAAGAAGAAATTAAAAAATAATTTTCTCCATTCCCAAATTCTAAGTGCTATAACTTCGCGATAAAAAATCACAGCTCTCTGATTTCTTTTTCAAATCAAAGGATGAGATCCCAGCTTTGTGCTACTGCAAACCTCATTTAAAAAAAAAAATTTCCAAAAACCATGTATGTCGTTGAACCAAAATCGACAATTTTCAACATGCCATCGCATTTGACGCGTTAGACTACTGACTCTGCATCCAATTTAAAATCCGACGAAATTGTTACAATCCAAGCATCCAGGACCCTAATACCAAAAAGAAATTATGCTCGTACATCGATTTTCGACGGAGTTATCCTCGATCGAAGTTGACCAATATCCGCATCAAATTCTCCAATGTCTCCGGGCACTGTGCATCATCGTCCGTCCCTGGGAAAAATCATCTCAATAGGGTTAAATATAATTTTCGCCTACAAGTGTAACTCATCGTACAATTATCGCGAGGAACACGTCGTTCAATCATTCACGGTTCAATCATCCAGTGACTCGTCACCCCCTTTCGCCTGAGCGCCAAATTTCGGCCGAGAAGAAAATTTCGAAAGGAAACAACTCGTGGGGGGGAAAAAGGAAGACAAAGGAAAGAAAGAAATTGAAAGGAAAACATAAAAACACAAGACTTTCCGTTTTGACGGAAGTACGCGCGAGGAAGAGGAGGTCGGTAATGGGAAAAAGTTGGCGAAGAGCGCGGCGCAGGAGGAGGAGCGCGCATAACGAGATAATCCTTTCGTGAGGCAACGTTAAGGCGAAAGAACCGCGGTTACAGAGTAAATTGCACGGCGAAATTTGAGGCTGGTGGGCGGAAGTTGCGTCGCGAACTTATAATTGCGCGATGTTGTTGCCTCGAATTAAAAAGAATCGGACGCGAAAGGCAAACGAATTTAATCTTTGCCCTGCACCCTCTCTCCTGGCTATCCGTGCTGCTACAATCCTCTCTCCCGTGAGAATTTTCTCCCGAAAATTCGCCAACATCTCGTGTAGCGTCCTATCGTATCGAATCCCTTCGATGTCCTAGAACGCTTATCACGCGCCAAATTAATATTGCGTGACTAGTTGTAATAACAAGGATCCAGAATGAGTGGTCAAAAGAGAGTGTTTATTTAGGGAAAAGTATAGAATAGTTATAACGGAGACGTTGAACGGAGTACCGTTTCGAACGCGCGTTTATACGTGTAAGTAAGATGTTTCAAGGATCGGTGTCGAAGACGAACTGATTTCTCGAATTTCATCTATGTCGTGTCTCGTCGTGTCCTGTCCGGTGTTTTCCCCAGTTTAGTTCTGATCGGGCAAAATAAACGTTGGTGGTGGAAAAGTAAGGAGTTTTAATTGGACAGAGGGTGTGACGGAAGGACCTTTGGCTAAGGAGTAGGAAACTGTCAAGGAGCCGATTTTTGATGGTCAATGACGTGATTTATAAGTGCTGTCCGTCCGTCGCTCGTTGGGTCTGTCACACGTGGTCCCATCTGTCGCGTCTGGTACTTGTAGAATTCCTAAACTTTGCTTTACCTTTATAAACTTAATCCGCTAGAACGGCGTTGAGGCACATCTAACCTCCGGAATTGCATTCGCGGTATAAAATATAAAATAAACCGTTAGGTCTGTTAAAAGTGTAAGCCTTAGAATAAAAATCATGTTATAAACACGCTCTCCGGGACGCGGTACATCTCGAATTCGCGGAGGATAGCTTTGCCTGTGTTTTGTCTCGCCTAATCGCTGTCAACGGGGAATAAATAATTCCATGACAGAGCTTCGCTGTTGAGACGAAGTACGATATCGATGATATTTTCTCTTTTTCTATTTTCTTTTTCTTTTTTTTTTCTTGAGTTTTTCTTTTTCCTTTTTATCGGGGAGTGTGAAATTTCCCTAGGGACCCAGCCGAGGCGCCTTGGACCAGGGTTAACTTGGCGAAGCATTTTATGTACCGTGGGTTCGATGTCGGTTAATGGCTACGTGGTACATTAAATCGAATCGATTCAATTGGTGTTAAGTAATACAGTCGATCTCGTGGAATTCCAGGCTACTAAGAGATTACTTTCTCCAAGTTGAATTCAGTCTTTTCAATGCCGCGTGAAATTTTAGTTCGATGTTGATCAAGGAAATATCCTTCTACCACCTTTTCTGAATTATTCCGTAGCTTTCTTAGAGTTAGAGCGATTGTTATTTTTATTTCTCCAGCGCTTTCATCCTGTGCGAGTTTAAATCTGCTTAAGTTTCCCTGTTTTCGAATTTTCATGGTTTATCGCGGTGATAGCGTTAGTGTTGTACGAGTTTATATGGACATAACCAATATATACGATTTTAAGTATAGAATTGGATAAACAATTTTTCCCCTTTCGTACCGTGTGAAAATTTGTATAAATTTTTGGAAAATAAGGGAATAGCAAATTCCGGGAAATATTCTTTCGTAGCTAGATGCCATTTCTCAACGAAGCAGAATTCGATTGGTGTACCTGTCGGGTATAAAACAAATGTTTGCGAAAAACAATCAGCTTTCTAAAGAAAATTATATTATAAAACGTATTAATACGTCGTGACGTAAAAATACGTCGTTCCTAATTTTTCCTTGATTTCTCTAAAAGTGAGCATATCATTTTGGTAGCACAAATAGCTTATTAATTTCGATAGTCATTTAAAAATCACGCGTATTTTGTATATTTAAAGAACACGTGTACACATATAACGCAATAACCGACTAACTCGTCTCCTTTATTAGATTGAAGTCACGGTTAAAGTAGCGAATGCGGAATAATAAAATCGCAGCTGAAAACGATCACTGTGAGCATTCAAATTCATATAAATTCCTATAAATCCCTATAACGCAATTTAACTAACTTTCCTCTTTTATTAGATCCAACCCACGGTCGAAATATCGAAAACGGAAATATAAAATCGCAGCTGGAAACGATCGCTGCGAATTCTTAAATTCCCCCATCTCTTGGCAGCAATTTCCGAAATCTTCGATGCCCGTGGAACAACGAGATTCCACTATTTCCATTTCGTTAAGAAGCTGCAAATACTTCATGAAGTATTCATTCCTCGAGTGGCTCATCCTAATTTCTTAACATGCAGAACAGACCAATTTAGTTAGAAGGAAAAGGAGAGGCACAGCGGCTGAACACTGCCGGGTGCATCGTTGCACCCGCGGAAAAATAAGGTCGGGTGGAAAGATAAGCCGTTGTTTTACAAACAGGAAATACGATTCCTTCGAATTGCGTTACTCGCTCTCCGCCATATTTTTTCGTTCCTGATGTTTCCAGCCGCTCAGACGCACTTCGCGACCGCCCCGATTATTTTTCCGCGACGGGTTCAGTGAAAAGGGAAAATAGTGGATAAAGAGAGTGGAAAAGGGAGGAAAGAGAGGACGTACGAATGATAAAACCCTCGTATGTTCGTTTCCGTAACTCTAACGTTGGTTAAAACCTTCGCAGCGCGCGAATTTTGAGGTTAACGAAGCGATGAAGTTGAGCCGTTTGGCCGCCAGTTGGCGCTGCGTTGTTACGCGCCGCGACACACGACTGTTGACCGCGGAACGAGAAGGTGCGAGTTTCTCACGCGATTTCTAACGTTGATATTTTGCTGTTCGTGTTTCAGGATGGCGCGTACGAGAAGGAGAGCGATATGGATGGGCTGGGACTATGCCCTTACGATCCACGGCACAACAGCACTGCGGTATTCGTCGGTGAGTCGGACTCGAATATATTTGCTTATTTATTTCCAGCGAAATGTCGCGGGGATACGTACGCCTGCACGAAGGGTGATAGATCGTCGTGGAAAATACTTGGCAGATTTCGGGGTAAAAATGGAATTTATTTTCTGAATCTCAACGGATCTCTCAGCTTCTTTTAACGGCATTTCATTAAGGGGACAGACCACTGTGAGGGTTGAAAATAGAAGCAATCTTCGAGAATTTTTTGCCATTAATTTTGATTCGTTTTATATTAAACTTTTCATGTCTTCGGAATGTACATTTCTTAAAGCACATCTCGTCAAAATTTCGTATAAAAATGTTAATTATTGTGGATATAATAGGTGTCTCTGTGAGAGGCCTTCAGAAATTCGTTGAAAACGGGTGGGCGTGTAATTTTTCATTTGAACTTATTCTTAAACAAAAAATTATTCGATTTTCTTGAACTACGAGGCAATAACTTCGGTTGCACGTAGGGATTTGACAAAATAATAATTTATTATGAAAAGATAGTGCTTTGAAGAAAAGAACTCTAAGACGTGTGAAAAATTCGATATTTCTTTTAACACTGCGTGAAAACCAATTATGCGATCGAAAATTCCGTATACGTAATTGAAGAGTATAGTATTAGGAATTATTATACAAAATTTCAAGTACATTGGACGAAAATTGACCGAGTTATCGAGCCGTCCAGTTTGAAAAATGTGATTTTCATCCTTTGCATTCGAGAGGCAGCCATTTAATCTCTAAAGATCGATGTTAATTAATACTTAGAATTTAAAATTACCCAAACGAAGGGTAAATTCACGCGAGTGACTTCGTTGAGTCGTGTTCTTCCTATTTCTGTTGTATTTAGAATAAAGATGGAATTATTTTAGAATATATACGATTCCTCGATATCTGTTCTCGGAATTTTTAAATTTGGGTACCACAATGTTGTCATTTGTCGCGATCATTTACCCAAGCCGACGGTCGTGCGGCCAGGAGTAAATATTTTCATTGAAAATAAACATGCAAATCAGCAGCTGTCCGAGAGTAGAACGGTTGAACTATTTTAGGGCTGCCGTGCGACGATACGATCGTTTTGCGTAACAATTTCGCTCGGTTTCGCGATCATGGGGAACGATAAGGAAATACCTTTTTATGCATAAAGGGGCCAGGTTTTAATGGAGTTTGTTCTTCTGGGAATTTCATGTGCTTACGGGAAAGTAGGTAACTTCGTTTCCGTTGAATCGTGTTTCGAACGTAGAGGCATGCGTCTCCCTTTAACCCTGGCCATCTGGAACCGGTTCATTTTCAAACGATACACGCTCGGTTCTATCTGTAGCCTCGCTATATATCTCTCGATAAACCTGTTTTAAAAAATTAACGAAAGAGAAGTCCAGTATCAGACCTTCATACGACGTAAGAGCGTAGTAAAATTTATTCTACATATACAGGGTGTCCCAGGCTTTTCCGGCCAAACGGTGTCAGTGTATTCTATGAGCGAAAATAAAAGAAAAGTATCATGTACATATAGACTCTGAAATGATTTTCTAAAAAATTATAATAAAAATTTAACGAGAGAGAAGATCAATATCAGACCTTTATAGGACGTAAGAATGTAGTAAAATTTATTCTACGTGTTCAGGGTGTCCCAGGCTTTTCTGGTCAAATAATGTTAGCATAGTCTATGAGTGGAAATAAGAGAAAAGTGTCACGTGAGCATAGACCCAATATTAGACCTTCACATGATGTAGGATTGTAGTCAAATTTATTCTACATATACAGGATGTCTCAGGCTTTTCTGGTCAAATAATGTTAACATAGTCTGTGTGTGAAAACAAGAGAAAAGTATCATGTACATATGGACCCTGAAATGATTTTCTAAAAAATTATAATAAAAATTTAACGAGAGAGAAGATCAGTATCAGACCTTCATACGACGTAAGAGCGTAGTAAAATTTATTCTACGTGTTCAGGGTGTCCCAGGCTTTTCTGGTCAAATAATGTTAGCATAGTCTATGAGTGGAAATAAGAGAAAAGTGTCACGTGAGCATAGACCCAATATTAGACCTTCACATGATGTAGGATTGTAGTCAAATTTATTCTACATATACAGGATGTCTCAGGCTTTTCTGGTCAAATAATGTTAACATAGTCTGTGTGTGAAAACAAGAGAAAAGTATCATGTACATATGGACCCTGAAATGATTTTCTAAAAAATTATAATAAAAATTTAACGAGAGAGAAGATCAGTATCAGACCTTTATAGGACGTAAGAATGTAGTAAAATTTATTCTACGTGTACAGGGTGTCCCAGGCTTTTCTGGCCAAATAATGTTAGCATAGTCTATGAGTGGAAATAAGAGAAAAGTGTCATGTGAGCATAGACTGAAAAATGATTTCATGTTTTAAATTATAGTAAAGAATTAACAAGAAAGAAGTCCAATATTAGACCTTCGCATGATGTAGGATTGTAGTCAAATTTATTCTACATATACAGGGTGTCTCAAATATTTCTGGTCAAATAATGTTAACATAGTCTATGTTCGAAAACAAGAGAAATATATCATGTACATATAAACCCTGAAATGATTTTCTAAAAAATTATAATAAAAATTTAACGAGAGAGAAGATCAGTATCAGACCTTTATAGGACGTAAGAATGTAGTAAAATTTATTCTACGTGTACAGGGTGTCCCAGGCTTTTCTGGTCAAATAATGTTAGCATAGTCTATGAGTGGAAATAAGAAAAAAGTGTCACGTGAGCATAGACTGAAAAATGATTTCATGTTTTAAATTATAGTAAAGAATTAACAGGAAAGAAGTCCAATATTAGACCTTCGAATGATGTAGGATTGTAGTCAAATTTATTCTACATATACAGGATGTCTCAGGCTTTTCTGGTCAAATAATGTTAACATAGTCTGTGTTTGAAAACAAGAGAAAAGGTATCATGTACATATAGATCCTGAAATGATTTTCTAAAAAATTATAATAAAAATTTAACGTGAGAGAAGATCAGTATCAGACCTTTATAGGACGTAAGATCGTAGTAAAATTTATTCTACGTGTACAGGGTGTCACAGGCTTTTCCGGTCAAATAATGTTAGCATAGTCTATGAGTGGAAATAAGAGAAAAGTGTCACGTGAGCATAGACTGAAAAATGATTTCATGTTTTAAATTATAGTAAAGAATTAACAAGAAAAATGTCCAATATTAGACCTTCGCATGATGTAGGATTGTAGTCAAATTTATTCTACATATACAGGGTGTCCCAGGCTTTTCCCATATGTGGGTGTCACTATACCCTATGAGCGAAAATAAATAAAAAGTGTCATGTGAACATAGAAGCAAAAATAATTTTCTTTTCTTAAATTATTATATATATGTATATGTATATATTTATTTTTGGCGGTATATTTTAACTCATTTTCGACACTTTGCAAATGGGAAGTTGTGGTCCTGTGAATAGAACAAATAGTTATATAGGTGATATTAATTGTTCTGTATTTTAACTTTAAACCGACCATAATCGTTCAAACGACCTAGATAAAAAGCAGATGAGAAATCTGAGAAATCTGGGAAAAAGTAAATAAAAAAGGACACGTAATAAGAGGAATTATTTCAAAATCGATTATATACGTATTAAAAGAAAAATCACTAAGTCGAGCGAGCGTAGTTACACGGTTGAAGCTAAAATTTTTAATCGCAAGTTCTAAAATGGTCGTTCGAGCTGTGGTAGATTTAGTGTTAAATGAGTTTAACTTCAGAGTTTCGCCGCTAGGTGCGGTGTAGTCGCTGTCTGATCTTTATATATAGTGGGTAGCCATTGATCTCTTTCCTTTGTTCTCTGCAAGACGTGTAAAATCCGTCAGTGATGTATTAATATCAAAGAAATTTAATATTCAACTCAAATCTACAATCTAGTATACCTAACACTGTAAAATCAAATTTTCATATTTTTGTAAAAATAAATTTAATAAAAATTACTCGCCTATATTTAACTTCGATCCTTTAGTGCCTAATTTCCAAAATATTTCGTTTCCTGTACGATGAAAATCATGTATCCGTGATCCATAACTTTTCTCAATTGCTTCGAATAATACTCGCAGATTTACGCCGCGCGTTCCGAATCATTATCATTGCACGATAAATCAAAAATCCCGAGCAGTTCATCGTTTACCTGATAATCTGGGTCAATTAACACGTTTAATATGGGACCATGAAATCTCGTAATACCCATAACTTCTGATGTACGTGTTCCAAAATTACCTTAAAATCCGTAATAAACTTGATTTCATTCGTTCCAGGCGAATATATCTTCGTTATTTGAAAAACGCTTTCGTTCGTATCGAGCTGGTCGCAACTCGGTTTGCTATAGCAAATCCAATATGGCGGAACGCTTGACCCCGAGCTGCGCCCACCTCCAAGGGGTTAAGGGATCGTTAACGAAATCGGAAGCTCTTTAACCAACGATTTCAGATAGCAACAAAGGCGGGTCCGTGTTCCTTGGAAAGAATGTTTCAGCATTTCGCCAGCATCGTGGCCTCGGTTCCATCAGGGCTCTGAGAATACACGGATACGCTGCACGAGTCTCCCGGATCCCTGACGAAGTTAGCTACGATGCTGGCGAAACTTCGAAACAGCCTTCCAAAAGGATACGGTTTACACCCGTAAACCTCTAACAGTTTTAACTACATGAGCCTTAAAGATCTAATTTAAACGAAACTCGATTCTACCATCAGACATGCTCCCGCGAATTCGGTTACTTCTGTATAAGTAAGCGTAAATAGCTTTATACTGTATGTAGGAAGTGATCGAGTGCTCGGTACGTTCAAAAATTGTAGTTCAAACAATTTTGTTGCAGTTAAATTCGCGAAATTCGCGATGTGTCGATAATGGACGCATTTTTGCCTGGCGATTAGAGACAATGGAGGTAATAGAGTCATATCCGCGCCATTTCCCGACGTTGCTTCGGTTGACGGAGCATCTGTGTTATGTTTATATT